GGACGGTAAATATGACTGATTATTTTAATGCAAATAACGCAGAGGAGAAAGCAATAAAAGCAGTGCAACGATGTAACAGTGATGAAATTACGAAACCTAAAACGGTTATTAAATCGGCGATGATTACCAGTAGAATGACAGAGATAATGGTAATGATAACGAACACAATGATGATAATACTAACGACAGAAATTAACCCTGTCATGTGCGGCTGCGCGACTCCAGGAATGACAGCGTCATCCTCTCGGCCAAGAACCTCGGATTCAAGTGCCATAGACCAGGGGATGATCTTCCTGCCACCTCAGTTTTACCCGCGGCGACGCCACAGCAAGCCGCCGCTGGTTGAAGCCGACGCTCGACCGAACCGAATGGCTACCGCTTCTCCCACGAACCGACATGGTGGCTTCTGCAAGCAGTCCTGCGCCCTGATTGCGGTTCTAAGGTCTGATCAGCTGTGAGGGCATATGTATAGATCACCCTCTCAGACACTGCCGCACGCCTACCCGAAATGCTTTCGGTCCTCCTGAGGGCACGACACTACCTCTTCAAACCGAGTAATGCTACCCCGCAAAAAAATCAAATTATGAGTGTTTCGGTTTGCGTGGGCCTCTTAAGGCCTTGAAGAATATTTATATTTGAACCAAGGCATGTGACAGCTTAACGTCTTATTAGTAAAACCTGGCTCTTGTGTACTTTACTGCTGCAAACTAAACTATAATGCAGAATCAGTCACATAGCCACAACTACTTAGCCAGTAGCCTGGATCCTTCCCAGCCAATAAGGTTCCAAAACTCACCTGCACGCCTTTCGGCGAAATATCCGTATCGCCGATGTCTCGGCGATGTCTTGAGGGAGCACCTATGTGTCACTAGCATGCTTCCCTCACTATACGCAATAATCTGACATCTTCAAGCCTTCAGTCAACCTACCTATATATTCACGCCTACAAAGGGGTATGCTTCCTCGCCCTTTCGGCTGGAGGATGACACCAATAACTTATCTTCATTAAGAGGCGGGTGCGCACTACTGCAAGGTAAACTACAGGCTTTACCTTCCGCTCATCGTCCTCTCGATTTGTCCAGCCCCAGATAGAAATCCTTAGTTGCTCTCATGCCGCGGAAACTAAGCCAAAGTTGCGCTGCGGGAACCTGATAATGTTGACACCCGTCACCATAACACCACGGGTGTGATTATTTCAGCCGCAGAACCCTCAACCACACCTGTGGCCCAAGGAACCGGACCACCACGACATCTGAAGCCACCTGCTCAGAAAGAAAGCATTTTTATTTTCCTGCTTGATAAATGTGTTTTGTCCTAAAAATGCGGGTTTTCTTAATTCCCTGTGCCTTATTTGCCATATTTTCGTATAAAACCTTTTTATCCAAACCTCGCACTCCGCACACAGGATTCGTATCTCTTGTGAAATTATATTTGTTTGCCTGTGATTTTCCGTGGTCTCGAGAGGTGACGGGATCCGTTCCTGCCATCCTTGCCTTGTATAGGCTGAGTTGACTCTGGACTCCAGTCCTTACTTTACCCTTATTCCAGCCGAAACTCTTCTTTCTCAGACTAAACAGAATATTTCTGGTTACTTTGATATCTCGCAGCCGCTGAAAGGCTGTAAGGTTACATAAATCAGAGTATATCCAAGCTGATAACTTAACATCTATCCTAAAAGAACAGACCGACAACACCAACGTAACTGCTACACCAGGATTCCGGCAGACGGATGCTCAGCCAAAGGGAAGAGTATCAGGCCTTGCGTTTCTCTTCCAAACGCGTCCACGCAGACGATCAGTCTGCGCCGTCTCCCTTTTCACACTTACACACCCAACACTCGACACACATTCTGTTTTTTCCTTCCACTATTTTCTCACACAACATTCACACCACCACACACAATATACACGGTTCCCGAACCTACTAATCGGGTCCACTGTAAACAAATCTTTCCCAAAGTAAGGTCCATACTCTCGGTTCAGCCTGGAATCAATCCGACACACACACTACTGGATGTACGCCCTGCTACAAACATACTGATTAGATAACCATTATGATAATAACAATAATAATAAGGACAGTAGTTATTGGTAAACTGCTGTGACGTAACTGGTGGTTCGGCCATCGAGTGCGACATTGGGAAGGGGTGGCTCTGCCTCGGAGGTCATTTGTGGTTTTGCTCTTTGTACTTGGAAGGATTTCTAATAAAGACAACGAGAGGGAAGCATCGCTGTTTCCTTCGCCTTGGAATCTCAAGCGATAATAAAGATAAGAACTGTAAAATAAAATGATAATTATGATGATAGGAATATTAATGATGATAATGATAATGTTATTTTTTATAAAAATAAAAATGGTGTTAATAATAAATACGAGATTATAATAATGGCAATGAAAATAATAGCTATGCTAAAGCACTAATAATAAAAATATTAATAGTAATAGTAATCTTTATGATAAAAATACCATTAATAACTAAAACAAACAAACACAATGATGA